GTTGTACATCAAATACCCCAATGAACGATACACAAGGCAAGTCATTTTGGCAGATAAGACAGAGAATTCCGAAAGCTTTTTTCACCTTTCTTAGCAATGAAAAGCACACAGCAATAATTTGCTTCTGCTGCCAAAACTGTCTGCCTTAGACAGCCACCTCACTCCCCCTAATGATAGTGCCAGACATCACAGACCCTCTTTTGGCTCCAGTCTTCTACTATGGTCCTTCTGTATTGCAAAACTCTCAACACAGTGCGCCTCATCAGTGAAATAAAGGACACCACACATGATATACCTATTGCTCATTCTAGACTAGTGTTAACGTTTTGGATGAAATAATCCCTACACAGAAACTTCAGTAAGAGTGATTAATGCATGATAATGGTGCAGTGTTCCCCCTCCCCCAGGCTTCCTTTTTTTAAAAAAATGTAAGGGACCATTTCAACTTGCAAACAGCAATAGCAAGTACATTTCTATACCACTTATCAGTGCACTTAAGCACTTCCTAAGTGGTTTACAATGTGTAAGCTAATTGCCCCCAACAAGCTGGGTACTCATTTTAGTGACCTCGGAAGGATGCAAGCTTGAGTCAAGTCTGAGCCCCCTGGCTGGTATTGAACTCACAACCTTATGGTTTGTGAGTGAGTGGCTGCACTACAGGCATTTAACCATTGTGCCACCAGGGCTCCATACCAACAAACTGACTTACCGGGTCTTGGGAAACTAATACCGACTGGCAAACCAATGGAGCTTTCATTTCAAAAAACTTGAGCCAGCTGTTCAGCTCCTCATCTGTTTTTAAAGGACAGGCAGAGAATTCTGAAGGCTGTAATTAAAATGTTATTACAGTTAAATACAGAAAAAGTGGGAGCACTGGAGCAAAAGTTAAACCTCCCCACACACACAATCAATCAAAATTCTTACTGAAGAGCCAGTCAACATCAGGCTTCCTGATCATTGACTTTGCTACCATCACTGACACACTCTTGTCATATTTTCCTAACATAACACAAACTTGGGAGGGCAGAATAACCCTCCATGCACATAGAAACAGTGGCCAATCAGAATTCTGTGTCTCATTAGTGGATGGGGACCTACAGGTAGACAACTACACAAACAGAAAGGAGAAGGACACAGAACCCACTAGATCCTAAGAAATTAGGATCTAAGAAATTATTGTGATCCAATCACCCAGCAATTTACATGCATGGAATAATTAATAAACTAAATTTGCTTTACCATTGGGCAGAATGAGGTGATCACTTCAGACAGAAGATTCTGGCTGGCATAAGAGGGCAGAACATTAAAAACGTATTTGATTTGTTGATTTATTATTTTTACTCTCAAGTATGGTGAGAGGTATTTGTGTATTTTTTTTCTGCCACTAGTACTAAAATAATGTAGCTGGATTTGGGTGCTACACATCTTGATTTGGGTGTTGGAGTGGGATTAGGTGTTTGTTACTTTGTTTTAGGCAGTAAAATGTCCTGGGCTGGTCCCATAGACAGAGATATGGGAAAACAGGCACAGCATTCTGACTGATTACTGAGCCAAAGATTTGTAAACTGATACATCTCCCTATCACCAAAGTATAGTAATATGCTTTTAAAATGTCACCCATTAGAGTCAAACAGACTAGATATGAAGAACCACAGTCAGCCTAGTTTAAGACCCATCAGGGATCTGCATGACCTTTTGCTTCTTCCAGTCTGGCTGACGCATGCATGAGAGTCTGCACCAAATATTTCACTGCAACACATAAGCCAAAATTGGACCACAAGATCTTTTGGATCCTGAGGTCAGCTTCTTGTTCCTGTACCTACATCCCTCACATGCTTTGCATGGAACATATGCGGTCCCAGATAGTAATTTATAATGCTTCAGAAATCAGCCTGATCTTGAGTAATGTCTCTAACCGTTTTTGGTGACCTAATATTTTACTACTAGATGGCAGCCTGCCCCTTGGACTTCTGATGCCAAGACAAAACATGATGAGCATTTCTGCTCTTGTAATTTGATCCTGCCTACTCTTTTTAGTTTTCTGGCTCCATTCTTATTGTGTATTTTAAACTATTGTTGTTGTTAGTATAGGTTGTATTTATAATTTTTGACAACTACTCTGACTTATTATTTTTTTTTAGTAGAAAGGTGATAACATAAAAGACAGAGAAAGACATTGTGGCCATGGCTACCTTCTATGAGGAGATTTATTTGTAAGTTATTGAAATTAGATGTCCTTGAGAACCTGGATAAATACCTCTGCACTTTTTTAGTGAGAGACCAAATGGTGATGGAGAACCACTTTGAGTCCCAGACTGGTGAAAGGATGGGAATAATTATATTATTATTATTATAGACAACGGAAGATACCCCTTATCAAGACTGACTTACCATGATGTGAACTTTTGCTTTCCCCTTCTGGATAACAAAAGTACCTCCCATCCCAACTGGTTTGTCACTGTAAGATTTTTCTAAGGTTTTTCTGATGCATGATATGAAATTCTGCTCCCCAGTTCTTCTATTTGCTTTCACTTCAATCACCTTTAAAAAAAAGAATAAAATTGTGTAATATGGTCAATACTTGCTAACTCATGTTTTTCAAAACATGACACCACTTCCTTTAATATATAGTGCTGTTTACAGCAACATTATAGTAAGGCCTTCATAATTAGATATGCCTTTTTTTTTTGGTAAATATTGAACACATGTTACATACAATTAACAATTCGTAAGCCATTCTAAGAGCCTTTGTGGTTGAAGAGCATGGTATAATTATGCAAAAGAAATTAAAAAAAATGCAGTCCTGTCACACTAGTATTATAATTTTCACACCAGAAACACAATGCTAAAGCCCCCCAAATAATGGTTGCCTGATACCACTGAATGAAGTGGTATGGGATTTGACCATAGACATTGTGATGACAGCTCTTATGCTTTAGCCTCCACCATACAGACCGCCTAGGTGGGCAAACTAGCACTTAACAGTAAACAAACAAAAGCGGGTTGCAGTGATATAGGGCTTATGAGGGGCAGGGGGAGAGAGATACACAACCTAGTAACACGCAACAACTGCTGAAATTCCCTCTTTTACACAACCATGAAAGATACAGGATCACTCTCTAGTTTTCACTCTGACAATCCTAGTGAATTGCTCTCCGCTTTAGATTGGGGCAGGGAATTAGTGTTATGCAAGGAACCAAAGAATTGTAAAACACTGCAAGGGCCATCTAGTTCACATACATTACTCCCAAAGATGGCCCTCAAAACTCTGTTGAAAGACTTCCAAAGACGAGAGTCCACCACCCTCCAAGGATGTCTATTCCAATGCTGAACAGCTCTCACCACTAGGAAGGTCGTCCTAATGTTTAGGTGGAATCTCTTTTCTTGTAATTCAAAATTACTTATTCATATCCTAGTCTCTAAAACAGCAGAAAACAAGCTTGCTCCATATTTCTACATGATATCCTTTCATATAATTAAGCAAGGTTATGACATCACCTTTCAATCTTATATTTTCCAAGCTATACCTACTAGACCCCTAAGCCACTGCTTATATGGTTTAGTTTCCAGAGCTTTTACCATTTCAGTATTCCTCTCACTCTTCCTGGACCATGTCCTTCAACAGGAAAGAGTGATGGAATAAATAACCTGTGCCTTAAGGTCCTTTACCTTTCTGCTCAGTGCCTCATAGTTGCTTGCAATATGTTAAACGAGGAGATCCATCACATCACCACCTTAACATCCTTTAAAAAGGCACTTAAGACAAATTTCTTCTGACAGGCCTTCCCAGAATAGTCTTCCCCCTGTGTATTTGCTTTTTTTTTTTTTGCAACTTCTATACAGTATTATTGTTTTCTTATTGTATTATTTTATTTTCACACTTGTAACCCGCTTTGATTCCCTTTGGAAATAGGTGGGCTAGAAATAA